CGGGAATGAACCCGCGGTCAGAGAGTCTCAAAACTCCAGCCCGTCGCGTTAGCCACACAGTGGCTAACGCGACGGGCTGGAGTTTTGAGACTTAATTCGGGGAACTGGAACACAGATCCAGTTCCCTAGATCAAGAGCCCGTCACCAGCATGGAGGAACCTTCCTTGAGGGGACATAGATAAGTTATATAATAATTAAGACTGACTAAAAATATCACTCGCCTGACAGTTTCCATTAATGCAATAAACTAATTCTAAAAAAAAAAATGACTTTTGGGGGGTCCACGAATGGTGAGATCATTGCAGAAATTTACTGAGGTCAAGGAATGTAAACTGAAACCTCCGATGACTCTTACTGAGGTTTCAGGAAATTAAAACTAAGGATATCACAGACATTCACTAGAGTCAAGGATTGTGCTCTGACACCATCGCTGGCATTTGCTGGTCTGAAGAAATGTGCGTAGCGAATTAAGTGTAGGTACTGCTATTCTTTGTTTTCCCAGGGAATGATACATCCGACCAGCACCCCAAACACGAATTTTTTATAGGGGAGGACTAGTAAGCCAGCGGAAAGCCTCGGTCAGATGACCAAAAGCTCCAGCTGCGGGCCATCATATGATTAAAACCCGCGTCAGGATACGCTTGTCCTGTTTCCTAACAAACATGACATAAATTAACCCTAAAATCTTCCAGTTACAGTGTAAAGATTCCTTCAATGGAGAAACACAAAATAAGACAAAATATATTCTTATCAGACGAAACCCTAAGAGACAAAAATAAAAGAAAACGTCAAAAAATTTTAAAATTTTAAGGCAGCAAAGTGTAATTCAGTGAGGAGAGTCGCCGTCGCAACCAGCCGTAACAACATTATTTACCTTCATAATTATGCATCACAGAGAAAATTTGTATGATGTCGCTACAACTTCCTGTTTGTCTTAACTTAAATAACGTAAATAATTAACAGAGCACATTCGTATGCTAATAAACTCATTCGTTACCAGCTATATACCACACATGTTATATAAACAAATATCGTGTCCCTTAAATTCTTCTCAGGAATGTATATCCTCTCATTTTCTCATAATGTTTGTGAGGTAAAGGCTATCTGAAGTTCTTGGACTTTGTGAAATTCCCCTAGTCGAGAAATGCCTCAGCAAGAACGAGAAAGTTTATAGTGTGCGAAAGAGGCTGGAGGGTAGTGGCTAATGTTTATTTAGATACAAACGGTTTATGTATTTAGATACAGTGGTTTAAGAAGCATGTATCTGTTAGTGGTTCTGGGCAATGGGGCTTATCTTCCCCACTACTCAGTCTCGGATCAGGCCTACTATGTTGAAAGAGAAATATTACGCGATTAAGAAGTATTAAGAATCACAGAGAAAAGTAGTATGTGTATACTGAATGTACGTAAATGTTTGTTAAGATTTACCTGTTATTTAACGTGTTCATGAGACAGAAGCCATTCGTGATGCAACACAGACAATTCATGCTTTTCACTACACCAGAAACAACTGCATTCAAGATGAGCCTGGGAGTAATCATCCCAGCAGCCGAGACGTAGATGCTGGCGCCACCTTGTCTGCCCCTCTGAGCTAAGAGAATGCACGCAAACTTGCTGATATTATACACTCGGTAAACTTTGCTGATGCAGAGTTTTCTTCGCAGTTTGTAGCTCCATTTCTCTTTGTGTTTGGATAACTCTTGCTTTTGGAGGAGAATCTGGAAGATTTCTTTGGCGTACGAGTGTGAAAACGGAAGCCTGTTAAATGTTTTGTACTCTGCCAGGATTACTGGTCTTTCTTTGACTTGCGAACGCTTAAGAAAACAGGTTAATATTATAGCCTTTTACTTACATTCAGTATACACTTTACTGTGTATTTCGTAGGATTCTTCCTGTAATATTTCCCTTCCGATTTAAGATGCCTGGTTGAGACCAGCCGCGAGGGCTTGTTCCTGGAAATCATTAACGGTCGTCACAAATAACATTCAACAATAACAGATTTCACAGATATATCACAAACAGATTTAAAAAGAGCTGTTGTGTGGGAGACTCCTGTCTATCAACACTGGTATTACAACTTGTCCGTTTACAAAGCCAGATGGCAATGGTAAAGGAAACATGCATTGTAATGTGATACTTTATTGAAGACGTTTCGCCAACATAGTAGCTGTTATCATGTCCAAACAGATTAACCTGGATAGAAAGGTTGAGCTCAGCTGTGTTGTAGAATCCGTTGTCCTGGTTGAAATTTCTTGAACTGCTGACGAAGTGGGTCTAGGATTTTGCGTCTCTGTGTGTGTCTTCTTCCTTGATAATGAGTAGTGTACCCTTGTAATTACTCAAATCACTGCGGGAGTTTTGCTGTGAAACACAGACACTATCCAAGTCGTCAGTTTTAGCAAATTGGTGATCGGAAATGAGTTTCTGGATGTTCCCGGATGTTCCACCTACATATATCTTTTGTCAGTCATTGCAAGGGTTTGTGTATGCTCTTGAAGTGGTTTGTTTTTTGTTTTGTTTTTGGTGTCTCTTACTAGGTGTGTCCTGGATCGTATCGGAAGCTGTTGTGGCTACTTGGAATCTATTTCTTTTTTAAAGCATTTGAGATATGCATGACAACAGAGAAAGTTTTAAGTTTTTCTCATAGTGATGTCTAGTTCGGGTAAGTTAATAATGTTAATGAGGACGGCGTTTTCAATCCCTGATGAAGTGTCAAGATTAGATAGGTTAGATTGTAAGATTTGTCAGGAAACTGGACAAGTATTTCCTGACGCGGGTTTGGGTCATATGATTACCCACCACTGGAGCTTTTGGTTATCTGACGGAGGCCTTCCACTGGTTTACCGGTCCACCTTTTTAAAAATTAATGTTATAAGTCCAAAGGTAGCGATGTCTGGAAAAGACTTGTCTTAAAGAAAGAACAGCCTTCGAGGAATTCACCACTGCAGATGCGGAGAGCACGTAGGAAGAAGTTTGTGGTGACGCTACGTATAGAGCTTTGGTGACATGGTGAGAGTAGAAGTGGAGCAAATTGTAGACATTAAAACATAGCTTATAGTCAGATTTGCAGAGAAGAATATTGGAGAATGAGAGAGTGCAGTTTACTTCCTCTTTCCTTGTGAATTAGACTTAAATTTAGGTGGCTTATATAAGTACCTCTAATAGAGAGACTTTCACCAAACATTGAAAGGAGTCTCTGGAAAATGGGCAGTTAATTAAGAGTGTCACTTCAGCGTGTCGTCTTAGCGTGTCGTCTTAGCGTGTCGTCTCAGTGTAAGGGATAACTAGACTTTCCGGGATTAATTTTCTGAGCGGTTACGAACCCTTCTGGAGACTAATGAAAGCATTAAACTTTTTCTTTGCAAAAATTTCCTACTTTACTGCCCGTTTATTACTTTGAAAGAACTTTTTATCTGGAGTGAAGTGCACGTAACACCTTAATTAAAAATAAGTTTTCACTGAAAAAAAATAGTCCAGAGTGTAATTTTGTGGAGATATTTGTCCATCAGTCCAACTCGCTGTCCTGATAGTTAGGAGTCATAAATAGTTATGTGGAATCCTCATTAAAGACTTTTAGCCAAAGAAGTGGGATTTATCAAGTCACAAATAAATGAGCCTGGTAAGGGAGTTTGAATAAATAATCGTGAGTGCGGGAGAGGTGAAGAGCAGGTGGGGGTGCACCTCACGTCACACTTATTCCCAAACATTCTAGGCCCTTTCTAGCGAAGTTGTTGCGGACACTGATTGGTGAGGATTCAAGAAACCTCCTCCAGATATCGTTGGTTTCCTCCTAAAGGGTAAAGTGTCTGGAGACCAACAATTCACTTCCTTTCTTAAACGTTTTACTCTACAAATGTGACGATGAACTTCGTTTCAAGATTTATTAAAAACCCGCCCAACACCGTTTTCTTCACTGCCACTACGCAACACCAGGACTAAGTTCAGTTCTCATGGGTGTTTCGAAGGAGTTATTCGCATCGACAGTAGTCAATTTCTTGAAGACTGCTCTACCCTTGAACAAATATTCACGAAGCTACACTGGCTTAGAAAGATACGTAAGAAAACACTGAGACATTTATTAGAGGTGATCGTGTGACTGATTTATCGAGTTTTGTTTAACTCAGTATTTATTTTAGCCTTGATTGTCGGCTCGGGTCATCCGACACAGGCGAGACAAGAATCTGACAAGATCTGATTGTCAGTCTGACCATCTCTTCCTACACTGGTCCACCGAAACGTTTTTTAATAAATACGTCCTAGTGTTTGCTCACGTGTCTTTCAAAACCAGTTTATAGGTAACTATTACCAAAGTTTACCCCCAAGCTACACTACTTTTGACAGTTCATCAGGGATTGCAGATGACACATGTATGACATCAGTTCGCTCATCGTTCCAAAGACACGAGGTACATAATCCAAAAACATCTCCAAGATCTCCAACTGGAGAAAACACCACCAGCATCATAACCACTGCAGGGGTATGTACCATTTCATGTAACAACTGTGATAAAATCGACACATGCGATACATTCAGACACCAGTATGTTAACAGAACAGACAAACTTAGCAACGTCTGTGAGGAACATCGTAATTACCACAACCATTTAACAAATTAGAATGGCACACTGCTAATTGCCGAGGAGGATTGTACAAAGAAAAGTCCTTCAGTCTCCCCCTCATCTCTCTGTCTCTAACAACTTCAACCACAACAACAATTACCATGCTTTAATTGACCCTTCAACAAAACTTCCCTGACGCTGGTGGAGGGCTCTTGATCCAAAGAACTGGAGGCTATCCTCCTTTTTTTTCTTGCATCAGATCTAAATGCCTCCTGTACCCCAAGGTGCTGTATGACTTCTACGGATTTAGCGCTCTCACCATGAATGAAATAAACATACGAGCCATGGGCAGGGGCATCATATGAGCCATGGGCGGGGGGCATCATACGGGTCATATTCAAGTTACTACAATTCATCCTTCGCCTATAGAACATATGTCTGTATGCGTCATAAAATTCTGGAAAATGAAGAGAAGGGAGAGGAGGGAGAATATATAGAGATGGATGATATGAAAGGGGAGGGGAGCTATGGAATGGCAAGAGAGGGCGGTCTGGATGAGGTAAGTGGAAATAGGGAGGATGAAAAGGAATATGGAGTAGGGGAGGTGTGGGCAGGGGAATCGAAGGGGAATGTCGAACAAAAGAGGAGTATGGGGGGGATAAGAAAGGGGTGAAGAAACGTGGGAAAGGGTGAAGATGGGTAAGGATTGGGAGTGATGGGAAGGTTAAAGGAAGCTTCCCCATCACTCTTGCAGCTTGCATTGTTTCTTTCAAAGTTCTAACTTCATGAAAGCTGTCCCTGAGTGGCGGATCAAACTCGCTGACTGCTAAAGTGATCCAGTTACAGACGCCAACAGAACCACTCACACAATTACTAAGGCACTGTGAAGAAAATTGGCCTCTGACCAATTTCTGATTGCCTTGTGCATATACTGTATACCTTCACATACACACATATATATATATATATATATATATATATATATATATATATATATATATATATATATATATATATATATATATAATGTCGTGCCGAATAGGCAGAACTTGCGATCTTGGCTTAAATAGCAACGCTCATCTTGCCATATAGGACAAGTGAAAATTTGTGTATTCAATAATTTCGCCAAAATCATTCTGAATCTAATGAAAAAAAATATATTTGATTGTGTTTTAGTACTAAATTATTGTAAACGTATTTAAAATAGATTTAGTTGGATTAGGCAAAAATAAATTGCTTTTGTTACAATAAGGTTAGGTAAGTTTTCTAAGATTCTTTTGGTGCAAAATTAAAATTTTTTACATTAACACTAATGAAAAAAATAGATCTTTAAACGTATAAGAGAAAATTTCAAAAAGGACTTAATTTTAAAAGTTCTTGTTAATTGACCAGTTTTACATATTCGGCACGACATATATATATATATATATACGTACCTATACATGCACTTATCAGCATTGTGAGAATGGAAACCTTTCCAACCGTATTGTACATGAGTATGTGTGTTTGCTCAACTGCATCAATTTTCGAGGAAGGAGTCCTAGCTCTTGGGCCCCACTTTTTAGTCAAGAGTGAACTAGTATGACAACCTGTTCTCCAGTTAAATTTTTTTTTTTTTTTGCTAAATTGGCTTTGTGTCTTTTATCGGTGTCCGGAGTATCTTATACGCTGTTATCATGTCTCCTTCGATTCCTCTGTCATGTACTTGTCACTGATGTCTGGTTAAAATGTTACTCCATCGTTATCATCGTATTCTATCACTTTCCTTCTGATAACCTTCTATATCACCTTAGACACTATATTATAGACTCCGATTCATTGTTGAGTTCTTCCTGATTGTCATCCTTAAATATTGGTATTATTTCCAGTAATATATAATATTATGCTGGGTCAGAAGTTTCTGTCCGTCTTTCAAATCCATGGAAGTGTGAGGTTCACAGGATATTTTTATTTCCATATTTCGATCTTCGAATCTAAGTGAAAATTTTTTTGATCTGTTTATAAGATTATTCGTCTCGCCGTATTTAAATTGTGTTAGTTGGATTGGGAAAATAAATTGCTGTTGTTATAATAAGTTATGTAGTTTTTAACCTATTTTGCAATAAAATCTTTTCCTTTACCCCTTTTTCATTATCTTCAAGTAAAGTGAAAATTTCAAAAGGGCTTGAATTTAAAGAGGTCTTGTTAATTAACCAGTTTTACATATTGGAAGACATATTATATTAATATATCATATTTATAATAGATAAAAATATACAAAAATTTTATATAGTGAAGAAGATGAAGCAGAGAATATATATGATATATAGTAAGATAAATATAAATTAAGATAGTAAAAATAAAATAGAGAAAAAGAATATAAGTATAAAAATAATATATAATAATAGAAGGAGATATATAATAGAAATAATAATAAAAATAGTTATATATACGTATATATATATATATATACGATAATATATATATATATACTATATATATATATAATATATATACGTATATAATATATATATCGTATATATATATAATATATAATATACGTATATATATAAATATATTATATATATATATATATATTTTATATATAACGTATATATAATCTATAATATATATACTATATATATATAATATACGTATATAATATATATACGTATATATATATATATATAGTATATATATATATATACGTAATATATATATATATATATATATATATATTAAAATAAATATATATAAACGTATATATATCGATATATATAATATAAAATATATATATAAATATATATATATATACGTAATATATAATATAGTATATATATATAACGTATAATATAATATAAATATATATATAGTATAATATATATATTATCTATATTAACTAAATATATATATAAATAATATCAATATATATAATATCTATATATATATATTCGTATATATATATATATATATCGTATATATATATATAAAATATATTTTATATATATATATATATATATATATATATATTCGTATATATATATAATATTTATATATATATATTATATAATATATATTATATAATATATATATATATATTTCGATATTATATATATATTATTTATATATATATATATTAATATATATTCTTATATATATTATATATATAAATAAATATTTATATATATATATATAATATATATATATATAAATATATATATATTAATATATATAAATTATTTAAAATTATATTATATTATATATATATATTATTTTATAATATATATATTATATATATTATATATAATTTATATTATTTATATATATATATTTATAAAAAATATATTAAATAATTTTATATAAATATATTATATATAAAATATAATAATATAAATAATATATATATACGTACCTTACATGCACTTATCAGCATTGTGAGAATGGAAACCTTTCCAACTCTAGCAGAGCGTAGTTTATGACACTACAAAACCTGACCGTATTGTACATGAGTATGTGTGTTTGCTCAACTGCATCAATTTTCGAGGAAGGAGTCCTAGCTCTTGGGCCCCACTTTTTAGTCAAGAGTGAACTAGTATGACAACCTGTTCTCCAGTTAAATTTTTTTTGTTTTTTTGCTAAATTGGCTTTGTGTCTTATCGGTGTCCGGAGTATCTTATACGCTGTTATCATGTCTCCTTCGATTCCTCTGTCATGTACTTGTCACTGATGTCTGGTTAAAATGTTACTCCATCGTTATCATCATATTCTATCACTTTCCTTCTGATAACCTTCTATATCACCTTAGACACTATATTATAGACTCCGATTCATTGTTGAGTTCTTCCTGATTGTCATCCTTGAATATTGGTATTATTTCCAGTAACTTACTGAAAATTTACGCTAGTGGTGCTCATGAAGTTTCTGTTCCGTCTTTCAGAATCCATGGAAGTGTGAGGTTCCACTGGATTTTTTTATGTGTCCAGCTCATTCAGGTGTATCTTCGTATCTATGATGTGAGGAGGTTTTCCAGTTATCACTGATGTACACGATTTCTTCGTCTCGCCGTTTGTGTGTATGTGTGTGTGTGTGTGTGTGTGTGTGTGTGTGTATATGTGTGTGGGTGTGTGTATGTGTGTGTGTGTGTGTGTCTGTTAGTGTGTGTCTGTATATGTGTGTGTGTAAGCCTCTGTATGCGTGTGTATGCTCGCTTGCTCGCCTTTCACCTTACACATTCCTGTCAAGAAATGTGAAAATTACGAGCGTGGCTGAAGGCCTGAGCTGGATGGACCTGTTATTTACACGCAGATTCTGCCTGAAGACATATTCATCCTTGACGAAAATCACAATTTATGAGGAAACAACCATAGCACCAAAACATTTTGTTTAGGAAGAAGGGAATGAGGAAGCAGAGAAAAACAAGGAAGAGGAGGTAGAAGAGAAAGAAGAAAGTAGAGATAGTGAAGAGAAATAAAAGAATAGAGGAAAAAGGGAGATGGAAGGAGAAAAAGAATAATACAAAATAGAAGGAGAAAGCTAAGGAGAAAAAGTGAATAAGAACGAGAAGAGCTGGAGTAAAAGAGGTAGAAAGGTAACAAAAAAAAATCACATCATGTCACAGCAGGACATCACATGTCACAGCAGGACATCACATGTCACAGCAGGACATCACATGTCACAGCAGGACATCACATGTCACAGCAGGACATCACATGTCACAGCAGCACATCACATGTCACAGCAGCACATCACATGTCACAGCAGCACATCACATGTCACAGCAGCACATCACATGTCACAGCAGCACATCACATCATTTCACAACAGCACACATGTCACAGCAGCACATCACATCACAGCAGCACATCACATATCACAGCAGCACATCACATCATGTCACATCAGCACATCACATGTCACAGCAGCACATCACATCATGTCACAGCAGCACATCACATGTCACAGCAGCACATACACACGTCACAGCAGCACATCACATCATGTCACAGCAGCACATCACATGTCACAGCAGCACATCACATCATTTCACAGCAGCAACATTTACAGCATGCTCACAGCCGCACACACACATATCACAGCAGCACATCACATGTCACAGCAGTACATCACATGTCACAGCAGCACATCACATCATGTCACACTAGCACATCACATGTCACAGCAGCACATCACATCACTGTCAACCATGTCCCGCACCCTTCACATGTCACAGCAGTACATCCCCATGTCACAGCAGCACATCACATTTCACAGCAGACATCACATCAGTCACAGCAGCACATCACATCATATCACACCCGCACATTTACATTCACAGTCACAGCACACATCCACATTGTCACAGCAGCACATCACATGTCACAGCAGCACATCACATGTCACAGCAGTACATCACATCACGTCACAGCAGCACATCACATGTCACAGCAGCACATCACATGTCACAGCAGCACATCACATGTCGCAGCAGCACATCACATTTCACACCAGCACACATGTCACAGCAGCACATCACATATCACAGCAGCACATCACATATCACAGCAGCACATCACATCATGTCACAGCAGTACATCACATGTCACAGCACATCACATGTCACAGCAGCACATCACATGTCACAGAAGCACATCACATATCACAGCAGCACATCACATCATGTCATAGCAGTACATCACATGCCACAGCAGTACATCACATGTCACAGCAGCACATCACATGTCACAGCAGCACATCACATGTCACAGCAGCACACCACATGTCACAGCAGCACATTACATGTCACAGCGGTACATCACATGTCACAGCAGTACATCACATCATGTCACAGCAGCACATCACATGTCACAGCAGCACATCACATCACGTCACAGAAGCACATCACATGTCACAGAAGCACATCACAACCAAAACCCGACAACTGATTTATCAGTATATAAAAATAATATATTAATACATCTCATGAAAATGGCTGGAGAAAAAAGTTAAATATAATTTTGAGCCGAACAGCTAAACTCATCCAGTATTTTGAGCCCAAGACCCCCCCCCTCCACACACACACAAGACCTACATTCTTCTTTCTTATAAATAATAATAATAATAATAATAATAAAAATATTAATAATAATAGTTAGTAGTAGTAATATTATTATTAGTAACATTAGTAATAATAATAACAGTAATAACACAATAATACAAATAATAATGCATTAATACAAATAATAATAATGCAATAATATTAAAAATATAATTATTATTAATATTGCATTATTATTAAAATTACCACCACCACTTTGGTATCAGGATAATATCAGCTTTTACCGAATAAACACACACTGTAGAGACCTGTTTACAGTTTGATACTGGGAACACACTTGACTATATAAACACCATCACCCTCTGGTGTCTAATTCCCATCAGCTCACACAGGCTACCCAATTCCCAGAATACATTCATACAAAGCAGTTGCGGTGCCAGGACAACCTCCATTGTCTCCGAATAAATGGTCAAAACGCTATAGTCGAGAGTCGTAAAAGAGATTTGCACAGAGCATGTGTTTTCACTGTATGTTATCTACGTAATCGGGAATTAAGTACGGGAATATCTTAGTTACACTGAATGCAGCAGGTGTGATGGGGCAGTCGGTCAGCGAAGGGTCTGTGTGGATAGAGTTTTGCTCGTTCTCTATCGCTCTCTGTCTCTCGTGTGTGTGTGCGCGCGCGCGCGTGTGTGTGTGTGTGTGTTGTGTGTGTGTGTTGTGTGTGTGTGTGTGTGTGTGGTGTGTTGTGTGTGTGTGTGTGTGTGTGTGTGTGTGTGTGTGTGTGTGTGTTGTGTGTGTGTGTGTGTGTGTGTGTGTGTGTGTGTGTGTGTGTGTGTGTGTGTGTGTGTGTGTGTGTGTGTGTGTGTGTGTGTTATCGTTCCTGTTCTCATCCACAAAACACACTCTTGTCAGTCAACGGCAGGAGACAAAGTAAAAGGCTTACGATTTTTAAACGTGTACAGCTACAGAGACCATTTATGCACCAGTAAGAAAACAAATATAGGAGGGTAAAAAGAGGAAAAGACGGGGAAAAAATGACGTAAACTAGAAAGACGAAGGAGAAAAAAAGACAGACGACCAAAAAAAAAAAAAACCCACAAAGACCAGAGGGGAAAAGAATATATAGAGGAAAAAATGTAAAAAAAAATATGAAAGACAAAGTTAGACGGAAAGGAAGCAAGAGGAATAGAGAAAGAAAAGAACAAAAAAATGGAAATAAGAATACAAGGGGAAAAATGGACAAAACGATAAAATAAAAATAGAAGATAAAAATAAACAGAATAAGAACATGAAGAATAGCGAGAGGATCAAGGAATAAAAAGCCTTAAAGAAAATGAAACTGGACAAAACTGTGTAAGAATAACTGAGGCAGACGCTTCACATGTGGCTTGCTTGTTGGCTTCCATTCTTGTCCCCAGGTTGAGTTGGTCGTTCCATCTAATGATGTCCCACACACATGCACCAGCCAACCAATTGACAGAGAATTTTAACTCACTCAGGAACGTCGTTCATGTAGCACACGGATCAGGACACATCACTGAACTTTACAGTGTTGCTGTGAGATAGCTTTAATAATAATAATAATAATAAAATTATTATTATTTATATTACGTACATTTATATTTATATGCTCCATATATTTTCATTATTAGTACTTTTATCAATGCTATTATTATTATTATTATTATTAGTAGTAGTGTCATTGATGGTGGAGCATTAGTCAGCCAATAGCTTGACAGACGCTGTCAAATTATATGTCCACAAAGTCCTTTTTCGATTTCATTTTATTGCAAGAAAATACAAGTATAAAAATGCAATTTTCTGCAGTGATAACTGAGCTAATAGTTTCTGGGCTTCTCCAGAAGCCCGTAAGACATCTAATCGGTGCTCCAGTTCACTCCCCGTATCGCCTAACATCCGGTGTGACTTTTCCGATTCCATCACTCTAGCAGTGAGTGTTTTTATTGTCAGTTACTGGTGCCTGGAGAATATTATTCCTCACAACCTCACACAGGAAGAAGTTCCTGATATCAGGAAAGTTGAGCGGAGGAAGTTTAAAGACGTTATATCAGGGGAGCCAAGGAGGGAAGTTTAAGGCGTGATATCTGGGGAGGGTGGGAGAAGTTTAAAGGTGTAATAGAGAAGCGTGGAGGGATGTTAAAGGCACGATATCAGGGAAGCGTGGAGGAGGAAAACTTCATGTTAGGACAATTACGCTATCGTATGCAGACAGCTCTATTTTTTATATCTTTTAATATATTTGTAATAATTTTTTTTAGTTCGGAAAAGGACTTTGTGCAAGTAATCTGTTTTGATAGAAGGGGAGGAAGGGTAGCTCCAGTTCCTCGGATCAGGAGCAGTTTTTCCAACATCAAGGAAAGACTGCTGTGAGGCAATAATCTCAGTGCTGTTTTGTCCCTTGGGAATAAATTCTCCCCTCCTTCCATCCAGACACGTTGATTGGCTGTTATCTGTGTGCTTGAGTAATCTGTCATACTATGATTGGCTGCTTTGGGCCAGCCAGTTTTAGAGCTAGAGTGTTACTTTCTGACTTTTATAAAGGCAGTTAAAGACAGCCGGATGCTTGGCAACAGGTGGCAGGACTTAGTCCCCAGCGAGTTCCTCCACGCTGCGGTAAGCACAGAAGCACAGAAGCGCTACACATTTACAAGCAAATCACAGCCTTTTTCTTCACTTACCAGTACATATAATGTTTGCACTCTCATTAACTGCATAATATGAGTAAATCTAAACAAAAATGCAAAAGTAAAAGTAATAGAATAAAACAAAATGAAAATTGCCGAAGACCATCTTAAGAGCGAGGCAAGTGTCAAAAATTATGAACATGAATATAATTGAAAAGCGCCGTATTAGCAAAGCGCTCTAAAGCGAGCACTGTATCAACGAGGTATGTATGTCTGAGTGACAAATCAACAAGTTAGAAACTCGTACTGACAAATGGACAATCTACCTTGACGAATTTACACGGCATCCACATCATGCACAACCTATTCTGCTTTGTCTGTACTGCCACCTATTCCAATTTTTAAAACTATGAACGTGGCTATCTATCTTTTCCTTAGGCCTGTCTTAATGGGCCTGGACCTTTCGAAAAGGTCAGATTTTTTTCGTACTGTACACTGTCTTTTGCAACCCCAGAGAGACTGTTTCTGCTCAGAATTTTTGTTGGGGACCTAGACACAGCTCCTGACCTCATCTGCTGTGTTGACTTACATCTACCTGAACATGGTCATCCAGGCTCCTTCATACCTACTCAAAGACTACTGTGGGTAGCATCCGGGGATGGGGGGTAAAGAGGGTGGTTATACACCTTAAATAGACTCACGAAATCGTAATGACACGATTGCTAGCTGGCCCAGTGGCTAACGCGTCGGTCTGGAGTTTTATGAGTCTCTGATCGTGGGTTCTAACCCCGCCCGTGGTATGGTTTATACCTTAAATAGGGCTGGTCAATGAAATAAGCTGAGATAGGATAACAGCTCTTAGCTTATAGAATTGATTTGTGTAAAACAAATGTAGCCGCAGGGAGCTTCAAGCTTTTCCTCCTATTGCTCGTTCCTTTTTAAACCTTCTTGAGATTAAAGATACATCATATTCTGACATCCCTATGGTTCGTCTGTGTCTTTAGCTTCCTCATATAGCCCCGTCTCACCGGGCCCCTGATCGAGCATATTGTTTGTGTCCTCCCTGTCGACGCTTCTTAGAATTTTATACACCATGATCATGTTAAACTTTTCTTTTATTTTTTTCCAGGGTTGTCACTTTCAGTTTTCCGCGTCTCATCCGATATCTCATTCTCAGTTAGGTGGCAAGTTTCGTCGCAAATCTTTGGATATTCTACAGATTTTATACGTGCTTTATATGTAAGGGGCTCCACGGTGACGCAGCGTATTCCATGAAGAGCCTTTATATACGTGTTATATAGTATGCTGCTGACTTGCTGCTGTTTCGTGGCTCGGCTGACAACGCACTCGCCTCACACCACGAATGTCCGTAGTTCAATCCCCGATTTGGGTAGAAATGTTGGGCATGTCTCCTCACACCTGATGTCTCTGTTCACGTAGCAGTAAGTAGGTACCTGGGTGTTAGTCGACTGGTGTGGGTCGCATCCTGGGGGGCAAGATTGAAGGAGCCCAATGGAAATAAGACAGCGATGACGCACTGGTTTTATGGGGTTATCTTGGGTGGATATCCCTCGCATGGATCAGTAGGCCTGCTGCAGTGTTCTTTCTTCATGTTCTTATGTTAAAAAACCAAGCAAATCTTATCTTAGACCTGCTTTGCTCTTTCACAACGATTGAACTGAAAGTATAGATGTATTTTTTTTTCCAAACTTCACCGTTTCATTTACAGTATTTTCTATTTTATCATCCTTGTAAATAATTTCACAACCTTTGCTCTCACGATACCCCAAGTGCCTCTGTGAGAGGCTTCCCCAGCCCCGTCCTTCACCAGAGAGCCTCTTTCCTATAAATAGCTCCGTAAGTACTGCTGTTCCTCACGATTCATCCTGAGAGTGTACCACTGTCACTAGCGACCCTGAGTGTTCCACTGTCACTAGTGACCCTGTGAGTGTCCCACTGGCATAAGCGACCCTGTGAGTGTCCCACTGGCACAAGCGACCCTGTGAGTGTCCCACTGTCACTAGCGACCCTGTGAGTGTCCCACTGTCACTAGCGACCCTGTGAGTGTCCCACTGGCACAAGCGACCCTGTGAGTGTCCCACTGGCACAAGCGACCCTGTGAGTGTCCCACTGTCACAAGCGGTGGCGTTATATATTCATTATATATTCAAGAGGCTTCATTACCGCTGGGTCGTGGCTGTCTCTCTGCACCTCTCCTCACCCAACAACCCACTCAACTACTAACACGGATTCCCTGACATCTTTTGATGTATTAGACCCGGCGATCACCGCCAGTCTCATCTCAGTGTGTGTGTACTCACCTATTTGTGTTACAGGGGTCGATTCACAGCTGTGTGTGTGTGTGTGTGTGTGTGTGTGTGTGTGTGTGTATGTGTGTGTGTGTGTATGTGTGTGTGTGTGTGTGTGTGTGTGTGTGTGTGTGTGTGTGTGTGTGTGTACTAGGGTGTTGCACGTCTGTTTCCTTCCCCAGCTCAGCCTAGCTGATCGGATATAAATCGTCGACATATTTTCAACCACTAACGCAATTTAGCGTGCTAAATGTACGTTATCACCATTAATATAAAATATGCTCTGTGAAAATACGTATATGATCAGTATATCATATTTACTGTGCAAAGAATGACGAGGATATATTCATTTAATCGTTTTTTTAAGCATTAAAGCCTCTAAAAGCATTACTGTATGAGCCATTGAATTTTTTCTCTACTGTAATTAAATGTCGCATGATTTCTGCTGCCTTACGCGGCTCCTGTGGGTCTTCTGGAGATCAAGATGACTTACTCTGCTGAGTATTATGAAGGAAACTCAGGTTGCACGACTGGCTTTTAGTATTAGGAAAACGTTTTGCTCGGTTTAGAACTTTATTCAGTCTTGACTTGATGAAGCTCTACACAGAGCGAAACGTCGTCCTAATTAAAGTTTTTTTTTTCCTGCAACGTGTCTTTTTTTTCACTGAGTCAGTTGCAGTTGCAACTCTTACTATATTATGGAGGTAATCACGTCCTTTTCCCGTAATTATTTTCGCTCATTTAGAATTAGTGTAGAACTGACCTAGAGTAAATGATTTAAGTGAAATCATAGGAACAGGCCCAAAAGATCCATCAGACTGGTCAATCAGGACCATTCCTACTCACTTTCTTGTCCATCAGACCCACTCTGGCCGCAGTCAGAAGTCGCCTCTTACGAAAATGCTTCCTAAGTGCTTCATCCTATGAAGTGACTTTTATATTTCCCGCTGCAGTGGTTCCTGACGAGAGATGGCCAGGGGGAATACACGTCCTTTGAAAGCTTGTTTCCATCTGTTCAAAAGTTTAGTGAGTCGGGTTTAAGAAAGAGTGGGACGATGTTCGTCTGTTTCTCACTATTCCTTTTTATTTGGAAAGTTAGCAATTACCCGCAGTAATTGCCAGATCAGTCAGGTTGTTCTTAACTCTTTAGGCCTGCAGGTCGGTGGCAGAAACAGCCACAAGTATATCACAGGTATGACTGGCAGACGAATGATAGCAGTCACTGGTTAAAACTAGTGAATGTTATCAGTGAAACTAGAAGCACAAGAAGAATCAGTGCTGGAAATTCAAGAATGATCAATCGGTTTGCAATCACTTATTCTCATGAATATTGTCATCAGTCACGAACAGCAGAAACGAATGATTTATAGTATATAAATCAAGTCTAGAGCGCAGAATACTAGGGCACGAAATTAGCACGAAAATTAGCCAGTGGTTACTGAATCAGTGAATCCCAGTATCATAAGCTCCTGGAATGCAAGGAAGCCTTTTATACTGTATCACACCAAAGATGAATCCACATACTAGAAGAGCTGGCAAATATACCGGGTAAGGTTCTGCGATGTATTTCATTGTACTTCAGATATTTTTAAGTAATTTACACAAAATGCCTTTTTTTGCTGCTAATCTTCTTGCTGTTTCGGCTGTTTCTGTTGATGCTGCTGATCCTAGTCTTACTGCTGTTGATGTTCTGTCAGGCTGAGCAATAGCTTGAGAGAGAGAGAGAGAGAGAGAGAGAGAGAGAGAGAAAACGCCTGAGTGATTAACGTTAGCCCGTTAATAGTGTATAAGATACTACCACCAACACTGTCAACAGTGGCGCTGGTATCGTCACAACCTTTACCACAACCATCATCACTGTCAGTAGTGGCGCCGGTGTCATCACCACCACCAGTGGCACTGGTGTCATCACCAGTGGCACTGGTGTCATCACCACCAGTGGCACTGGTGTCATCACCAGTGGCACTGGTGTCATCACCAGTGGCACTGGTGTCATCACCAGTGGCACTGGTGTCATCACCAGTGGCACTGGTGTCACCACCAGTGGCACTGGTGTCACCACCAGTGGCACTGGTGTCACCACCAGTGGCACTGGTGTCACCACCAGTGGCACTGATGTCACCACCAGTGGCACTGATGTCACCACCAGTGGCACTGATGTCACCACCAGTGGCACTGATGTCACCACCAGTGGCACTGATGTCATCACCAGTGGCACTGATGTCATCACCAGTGGCACTGATGTCATCACCAGTGGCACTGATGTCATCACCAGTGGCACTGTCGTCACCACCAGTGGCACTGATGTCATCACTAGTGGCACTGATGTCATCACCAGTGGCACTGATGTCATCACCAGTGGCACTGATGTCATCACCAGTGGCACTGATGTCATCACCAGTGGCACTGATGTCATCACCAGTGGCACTGATGTCATCACCAGTGGCACTGATGTCATCACCACCAGTGGCACTGATGTCACCACCAGTGGCACTGATGTCACCACCAGTGGCACTGATGTCACCACCAGTGGCACTGATGTCATCACCACCAGTGGCACTGATGTCATCACCAGTGGCACTGATGTCACCACCACCAGTGGCACTGATGTCACCACCACCAGTGGCACTTATATCACCAGCACCAGTGGCACTGTCATCACCAGCACCAGTGGCACTGTCATCACCAGCACCAGTGGCACTGTCATCACCAGCACCAGTGGCACTGTCATCACCAGCACCAGTGGCACTGTCATCACCAGCACCAGTGGCACTGATGTCATCACCCGGGGTTGTTATAGCCAGTAATGGCCATTCATTAAGACGACAAGACGACTTTTACCTTAAAAATTCCAAACTAGAATTTTCTCAGGGAAACAGATATTTAGACTTCAATAATTAAATTTTTGGAGTAAGAAAAATTTGCTGAAGAAGCCTTCAAGCGCCATAGTTGGACAAGAATATATAAACTGAAAGAGCACTGCTCTTGCATAAGCCAGTTCTCCACAGGTAAGAAATTTCGATCCTCCAAAAAGTTTATAAAACTGTTCGTAAAACTCCTGTGAAGATAGTACCTTCAGCACTCAAAAATAATCAGGATTAATTTGGAGGTGAACTTCAAATTTGAGATTTTTTTTTCAGGCGTTTCGCTCCGTTCCGGACTTGATAATGATCCAGTCTGGACCGAAACTTCAGAGTTGGAATGATAAAATTCGTTTTAGTAAACAACACGTGTTTCTCGTAGTAACAAATTTGTTGTAGTGGTTCGACAAGTCGTTGAAATTACTACATAATCACAGGGAAGCGCTAAAATCGTGGGGCCCATAGAGGGCATGGGAGGTAATCATGTTCGATCCAAAGGGAAGACATGTCCACTTTCATGGATTTAGAGACCCCTCGTCGGCATTAAGGAACAACTTTTTTTTTTTCCACGTGGTTCAGTTGGCAGCGCACTCACCCCACATACCGAGTGTTTGAGGTTCGATCCCCGGAACGAATGGAAACATTTGGTATGTTTCCTTACACCTGCTGCCCCTGTTTCACCTTGCAGCAAGTATGTACCTGGGTGGTAGTCGACTGTTGTGGGTGGTATCCTGGGGGGGGGTAGAATACCTGAGATAGGGCTGGGGTTTGAAATGAGCTGAGATAGGATAACAGCTGAGGTAGGACAACAGCTGAGGTAGGACAACAGCTGAGGCAGGATAACAGCTGAGGTAGGATAACAGCTGAGGTAGGATAACAGCTGAGGTAGGATAACAGCTGAGGCAGGATAACAGCTGAGGCAGGATAACAGCTGAGGCAGGATAACAGCTGAGGCAGGATAACAGCTGAGGCAGGATAACAGCTGAGGCAGGATAACAGCTGAGGCAGGATAACAGCTGAGGCAGGATAACAGCTGAGGCAGGATAACAGCTGAGTCAGGATAACAGCTGAGGTAGGATAACGGCTGAGGCAGGATAACAGCTGAGGCAGGATAACATGTAAACAATAAATCTTCAGTATAGAGGCCAACAACGTACGGAAGTTGTACATATAAGTAACAAATAAAACATTTGTTCGTGCAATTAGAGCAAATAAAAGCTCTTAAAATAAACATTATTAGACAAGTCTGCAAAAAAAAAGGATGCAAGGAAATAAAATTTTAAAGTCAAAACGAACTTTAAAAATTCTTAATTAAAAACGTACAAAGAGAGCAGCCCTGAGGGAGAGTACCGCGAGTACCATGAATACCGCGAGTACCATGAGAACCACGAATACATTTGACAGCAGCACAGCCTTGCATCACCAGTGACACTCGTCTATATATTTAAACATTTCCTAGCTAAGCTCGGTTGGTGGGTTGGTTAGTGGCGGTTAAAACTTGCCTACTACATGAGGATAGATTAGTGAACTACATTTGGTTACCTTCTGGAAACGTTTCACACCTCTCGGTGTACATATCCTGTGTGAAAATACAGGTGGGTGTAGCCTGGGATACGCGAGGCTGTGGGAGGACCAGCGGTCAAGTTTACCGTGGAGTCGAGCTGTTTTCACTGTAAAATCTTGAGGGCGATTTACAAGGCTTCACCAAAAAATGGACTTAACATTTTCTTGGAGTAAGTTTTAAGCAGGTGCTCTCTGAGGACGAGCATGTATCTCGAGAAGTTAGCCCGGGGAAAGTTGCACACTTTAAAATGGTAAGCAGTAGAGTGCGTGGCAGGGAAATCTGTTTTTCTTTACAAGGGGGCTTTATATGGGGGAATGGTGGGGTGGGGGTCAAAGGGATTATCATAAGAGTGTTAAAGAGGGGTCAGGTAAGGGGGGATGAGGAAAGGGAAGGGAGGGAGTCAGAGAAGAAAATGTCAGAAATGGGGGGGGGATTATTTTTGCAGAGGGGATGTCAGAGAAGCTGAGATCCTGAAAAAAATAAACAATAGGACCTCTTAGTGGTCCTCGTCTCCCAGAAAAGATGCCTTGGGTGTAGAAGATGAGGGACTTTAGAGCTATTCCAGCGAAGAGAGAGAGAGAGAGAGAGAGAGAGAGAGAGAGAGAGAGAGAGAGAGAGATAAAGCTAGGGATCCTTAACCTTGTCAAACTCTGTGTAAAAAAAAAAAAAAAAAAAAAAAAAAAAAGGGAGAGAGAATAAATATGAATATGACCCGACCAGACACTTCGTACTGAATGAACCGCTTCTTCCTAGACAGGCGCCTGCTTACGCTACACCACCAGCAGTGCTCGTGCAGTAGGCCCACTACTTTTGCTGGTAATGAACCTTAAAAAGAAATCACCATACATACGTAAAAAAAAATACACATCAGATTCCCCTGAGGAAAGCCTTGCGATGGTTACTCCTCTTCATCTGTCACCGTTTTTCTCTGTATTGGACTGAAGCCACAATAAAGATTTCCATATGCAGTACAAGTGTCTCATTCTCCAACATGGTTTTCAAAACCATTTACATCACACAATACTGTGGGTGGAACAATTCACGAAAAACGACACGCTCATGAAGACCTTAGGCGACCTCTTGACCCTCTGATCCGTTGACAATACACATGTTGATTTAATGCAAAAGTGATGATAGAAAGAAATTTCACTCGAGGACACAATAAATCTGACACGAGCAGCCTCGTCCTCCAGTGAAAATCGACCTTTGTAGATGAATGGTTCAGAGAACCGACATGTTGATAAATTAGACACATGTGCAACTCTTGGGTATCTTTATTGAGGAAACGTTTCGCCACACATTTGTTCATTGAACAAATGTGACACGACCTATGACTGCTGCACCTCTCCTGCCATACGGTTTATAAGCTGCTTCTCCGCTGATATGCCGTATTCTATTCAAGATTGATGGACTGAACACATCGACTCAAGGTTGAGGGACTGATTACCTCATTCTCCTCCTGTTCTTCAAGTTTCTCCTACGTATGGACTGATGAAGCCACTGTGTGGCGAAACGTTTCCTCAATAAAGATACCCAAGAGTTGCACATGTGTCTAATTTATCAAAATCGACCTTGCTGAATGTCTTGGATATAAATCTATTTTAAGGGCAACCCTAGTCTATAATGTGTAGATTATGCTATACAAGTAAGGTAGCTCCAATTTCTCGGATCAAGAACCCGTCAACAACAAGGCATCTCCCCCTCTAGAACCATTACCAAGAAGCACGTTTGTTATTGATACACTCACTCTTTCGACCCTGTATTGTAAGAAGTGACTGAGTGGTCGTACTGCCTTCGGAAATAACGACTTTTCGCTCTAATTAAAGCGAAATGTCAGTCCAGAATCTCATAATGAGGCTGTCTATTTAGACAGTGGAACCAGTCCACCAGTCAAACTGTTCTACTGAAATCAGAGTTCATTGTTCACTGACAGACTGTCGTTGGTAGCGTCCAGCAGGTCCACGTAACCATCACAACCTAGCTAATTTGACACTTGTGGCACGTACTAATCCATTTTTCTCTTGAAAACCCTCTTATGCTAATTATATATATATATATTATATAATGTATATATTATATGTCGTGCCGAATATGTAAAACTGGTGAATTAGCAAAAACTCATTTAAAATTAAGTCCTTTCTGAAATTTTCTCTTATACGTTTAAAGATATATTTTTTCATTAATGTTAATGCAAAAAAATTTAATTTTGCACCAAAAGAATCTTAGAAAACTTACCTAACCTTATTATAACAAGAACAATTTATTTTAGCCTAACCCAACTAAATATATTTTAAATACGTTTACAATAATTTAGTACTAAACAAACACAATCAAATATATTGTTTTCGTTAGGTTCAGAATGATTTTGGCGAAATTATTGCATACACAAATTTTCACTTGTCCTATATGGCAAGATGAGCGTTGCTATTTAAGCCAAGATCGCAAGTTCTGCCTATTCGGCACGACATTATATATATATATATATATATATATATATTATATATATATATATATATATATATATATATATATATATTATATATATATATATATATATATATATATATCTGCTCTGGCTTACAACTTTCAAAAATAAAGCGGTACACAAGTTAGAAGATTGTATTTTTCATTTTACTCTGTAAAGTTCTGAAAGCTCTTACCCTACTTCATCTTATTTCAGAGTCCAGCCTTAACCAAGGTATTCTGTCACCTTCTCAAAATGCAGCCCGCAACAGTCAGCTAGCAGTCAATGCTAAGTGAACAGGAACATCACGTGAAAGGGAACCTGCCCTCGTCTCCGCCTTTTCTTGGAATGAGTCCTTTCGTTTTAAGCTACGATTAGGAGGATGAGTTGTACATGGCACCCAGGCTACTCTAACTACGAGCTATTTTACGAAGACCTTCCTCCCGCTCCCAGGTCACAGTAAAAGGGATGGGGGGAAGAGAAGGTTACAAATCTTTTTCCGAATCGAGGAGGAGGATTCTGTGGTGGACGGTGTCAGTGGGACCTCTGCCAAAATTACGGGGCTCTCAAGAAGATTGGCTCACTTAGCGAAAAACAGGGAAGGAAGTGTTGGCGATGATTGCCTCTTATCTTTTACAGTCGAGTGCGTCTCAGGAACGTATTCGAAATAACAAATCCTCATTATTTTCAGGTGGAAAAGCCGTTTGCATTCAAAGAGAATATATAACTTAAAAATATTAAAAGAGAGATCGAAGATTATATACTGACTGACTCTTCTGTCAGTATGACTTATAAATGGTCCAAAGTAGGACCAAAACGTCGTCATAAGCTCTTCCTTCTCTCCTACGTGCGGGTTATTTGTGTATTAGATTTATGAATATTATGACTGAAACGTAGTGTATTGTACGTGTCGTACATCCTGTGGATGGTCGAACAACAGTATATGGAGACACAAAAGGCCAGGGAGCTAGACCCTAAAATGGGAATATTTGCATACTGATACATGTATTTTGTCAGTTACAAGAAAATTTGGGATTGCTCAAGGTAATCCTAAATTATCTCGAGTAATACTAATGGAGAACTTCCAGATTCTCCGTTACGTTATCATGAAATACGGAGTCGTCAAAAAAATTGTTTAGTAAAGCTGAAGGCGCCCTAAAACGTTACTTCTGCCAACGAAAAAAAATCCCTGAACTGAAACGTTAGCAGCAATGAAGGTTTCCAAAACACATTTAGTCTGGTAATACTGAAGCTTCAGATAACCTAGTATACAAGTGAAGATTGCCTTGGACACACTGACGGACTGTTAAACGTATTCTGGCAACAGTGTTGCTCCCCTAACTCTGTAGATATAAATCTTTGTTGATTTTGACGCTTTCCCTAAGATATATACTCTAGATTATATTAATTTGGAAGCGCTAAACTCGTAGTTGTCATGCAAATCCCTAGGGAATGGTGGGTGATCAAGTTTGATCCTAGGAAGAAGGGGATTCACATTTCTTTGTATTCCAGTTATACAAAAAAGCTGGAATAGACTGAGTGAGAGAGAGAGAGAGAGAAAGAGAGAGAGAGAGAGAGAGAGAGAGAGACAGACAGACAGACAGAGACAGTCATATTCCCCCAGACCTTTTTCAAGGATAAATATTTTTTTTTTTCAGATGGGCGTGAGTGGCGTGGTGTTGGTGGGGGCGTGGTGCGTGTTGACGTGGGCGGCGGGCGTGATCGGCCAGCGGTCGCCCTGTTACCAGTGTGACTGGTACAGAGGAAGACACCCACACACCAGCCCCTACACTGTGGTAAGAACACACACACAGTTTCCCAACAGATACCGTCGTGTATATATGTACGTCACAAGTGTGACGTACATACATTCTCGGTATACATAAACCAGACAGAAAATACCGATAGGTGTATATATAAAATGAGAATTAACTTTAATCCTTAATAGTTATAATTATAACTAAAAATTTTAAAGAGGTGGACCGGTAAGCCAGTAGAAGGCCTCCGTCAGATGACCAAAAGCTCCAGCTGTGTTCATCACATCACTAGACCCGCATTAGGCACAATGACTTTTGTGCATTCTGTCATCCTTGACCCTAACAACGAACACAAAGAACATATTGGACAGCCAACAGTGTTGCAAGACATGTCGTTAAACCTGATGATCTCCCTGGCTAATCCTCGACGCTAATTCCCTACCGCCTCGATCAGTTGCTTCAGTAGCTGCTGGAGGGAGAGAGACTTCGCACCACGAGACCCGCTGCCCTGCCGTCCGCGGTGTACAACGAGATCTGCCTTCACGTCTTCCATTAGGTCAACGTCTGCTCTTGTCATTCGAATCAACCTTCGTACACTACCGTGTAGTGATCTTTTGTTTTTAAATGGGGTTTGACATAAACCTTGGTAACTAATACCCATAAATTAATTTAAAAATATACGTGAACAGACACTAGGACATTTATTAGAAAAAGTTTCGGTCCTGGGACCTGGATTACTTCTAATACACAGAAAATAAAATGGGGTGTAAAACTAAGGTGAGGTGCGGGTCATCATCTGATCAGGATCCTTGTCAGGAAACGCTCTTTTCTGATGACCAGAAAGACAATACTTGCCAACGACTAGTTTTTCCCTATCACGAACTCGTCCAGTTTAACTTCCCGACTCCGCCAGAACTGCCATTTAAGTTAATATATTATCCAGCAGCAGCAGCTGCATCTACTCCAACTCAATTTTTCTTCATAAAGTGTAGCGACGACCTCTAGCGTTTTCCCTCACACTAACTCCAAACAATAAATATTGTTTATGTTATGAATTTGACTCGTGTTACAATTGTTAGCAAAAAGGCTTATTTCCAGGATTGTGTGGAGTTCTCTCCCGGTGTAATATGCTGCCAGTTACTCGCTTCTTCAGCCTCACACAAACCAGCATCCCTTCGAAGAATAACAAGGTACAATACCGTGTGCAAGCGAGTTAACAGGGTTTTCGAAACTAATTCCTTGGGTAGCACTGATAATGGATTGGGCAAATATTTTTGTTAATAGGTTTGGGCTTGACAAGGACCTGCCTAATATGGGCCAGTAGGCCTGCTGCAGTGTTCCTCCTTTCTTATGTTCACATAACTCGCACAGAGGATAGTGAAAATTACAACGATGCTTCGGTTCGATTTGGACTATGGTCTAAGTCAGACCGAAACGTCGTCATAAGCTTCTTTCTCCTATGTACAGTATCCGTTCATTCTACCTCACTGCGGTGTTCGTGTCCTTACAGCTTTCTCTGTCGTCATCCAGCCCGATTTCACACCGAACAAGGAAAAAGTACGACTTCTAACACTGGTTGGGGTCGTCCAGAGACTGCGCAGCCAGACGTGTCACTTTCGTGTTTGAGTACATTTGTGGTTAAATATAGTTTTTTTTTGTTTTGTTTTAGTAGCCAAAAATTTTTTTGTACATTGGAAGCGTTCATAAATTTATGCTGGAATGCTTAATTAAAACAAGTGTAAAATGAAAATGGATTATCTGGTCGCATCCATAACAAACAACTGAAATATTCACTTCAATAACAGTCCTGTCCAGTGCTCATAAAATCCGAAACCTCAGTCGCTCGTATAACCTAACCGGTCTACATGCCTGGAGTCTACCTGGAGGGTATTCCGGGGATCAACGCCCCCGTAGCCTGGTCCACGACCAGGCCTCCCAAGTCAATTCAACTTTTTCTTTACGTTTTCTAAAATTTTGTTCTATGTACCAATGAAAACGGGTTGTTACTAGAGTTATTTAACAACTAGAGAGTAGCAGGTTAACTAGGGAAGTTAGGTTAGGTAAGGTTCGTCAGGAAATAGGACAAGTGTTTCCTGACGCGGGTCTTAGATACGACCCGCCGTTGGAGCTTTTGGTCATCTGACCGAGGCCTTCCACTGGCTTACCGATCCATCCCTTTAAAAATTATGGTCAGTTATAACCATTTAGTTATTTAAACTAGGAATGTAACACATAGAGCAGAGTTCTATTATACGATGTATTGTCGTAAATAATTCTTTAGGAGATCTATAGAAGGGATAAGTGTGTACTAAATGGCAAGGCGTCTGTCCCTTCTAAGCTGACAGAGGGTCGACCCTCTACTTTTCGTTCTGCTGAATGACCCATACCGGTTTAGAGTTTCACACAGGTTAAAAAAAATATAGACATGTTAAAAAAATAATTTGGAGAGAAATATCGCGTAACGTTTCACCTTTCTTGAGTTTACTAGCAGTGTCTAGCACTGAAATCTATTACCCTGTGGCACTCGCTAAGTTGTACAACTATCGCCTTCTCTGCCAATACTGAACAGAGAGTTTTCCCAGTTTGAATATTTCCAAGCAAGAGAAATGTGAAGACTTGTACGAACTTCGGTAATCAATTATAATATCCCTAATGATCTACAGATTACCATCATTTACTCTAATGGCACGAGGTCGATTGTTATAAAGGCTGAGTTTTTTCCCCCATTATTAAAACCTACCTTGAGGCTCACTAACTCCGCCGTCCTTCATCTGGTATTAAGTGTCTTTACTACCCAACTTCCGGGAATTATTGTCGATATTGGAATTCCGTTCTTAACTGCATTCTCTTGTGGCTGAGGGGCTGCCCCCTCTGTCCTGTCCACGTCCCTCAGTGTATTCCTAGTTCTTGTAGACAGCGCTTGTGGATTTGCCTCATAAAGTACCAATATTTTTGTCACTCATTCCTAATGCTAATTCTTGATGCAAAGAAACACAAATTTTAGTCTGTCATGAAATTATTAACTTAATAAACTTAATGCACACTAAAATCTGGTAAAGTACCAGACACGAATCTGAGCAACCTTTACCGAATTTTCTTTCTGATGAACGATATACTTTAAGAGCCATTAGGCTTATAAATTTTGCAAATATGACTTTTTTTTTTTTTTTAAGACTGAGGGGAAGGCCTGGGTGGGATATAATGGAAGTTTTGCATAATAATCTACACGCATATCTTTATATTCCCACCAATTTTCGTATTTTTTCTTCCGTTGAAATACAATTGTTCCTGATCTAGCATTCGCTACTTGAGGAGCCGGAGAACGTTCCTTGGAGGAACAGGGTAGTTTATTCATGGTGCAGCGCTCAACCCGTAAGCGTCATACAGGGCCCAATGTCATACAGGGGAATGGGAGGCATTCAGGTTTGGTTCAAGGAAGAGAAGCACAGGTCCCAGTCCTTAGATCATGAGACCGTCACCAGCGTCAAGAAACCTTCCTGATGGTGGGGGATAGTTCATAGGAGGAGGAGCGGGTTCCCTTCCTAGGAGCAGTTCATGTCTCTAGGAGGAGCAGGGTATGTTCCCAAGAGAAGGGATCATTGCTAGAGTAGGGCACATCCCCTAGAAGAGCAGGGCACGTTCCTAGGAGCAGAGGGGCACATTCCCTAGAGGAACAAGTCATGATCACATGTGCGTGCAGGGCATGTTCCTTTGAGGGTACAGGACATATTCCTTAGAGGGTACAGGGCATGTTTTCAGGAGTTGCATGGCACAGTCCCATGAGGCACTATCCTCTGTAGGTTTCAGCTGGCTGGTCTTGTTGCAACTTTCAGGAGAAATCGGCAAACATTGCGGTACTCCATTTACCATAGTCATCTTTCTCCATGCTCGTCATTCACGTCAGAGAGGTTGCCAGGGGAAACAGTTTGGGTGACCTGTGGCAGTTCAATCATTGGTAACTTTGCAGTAGTCGGAGTTGACGTGTCTGTCTGACAGGAATCCCAGTATATATGTTCTTGAACGAATGTTATTCTGCTAACTCCACGTCATTCATTGCCATCTGAAAATCACTGGAAAATTTGGGGACCTACAAATACGCCCTCCCTTAATCTTGGCCTCACTTAGTTTGTTGGTTTCTAACAAAACTTTAAATGTTGAATGATATTTGTCCATTGTCTGAGGAGATCAGGCTTAATGTGTAGTAGCGATAACAAAATAATGTCCTCTGAAACCACTGCTGCACAGGCTGCATTGAGTGTACCTGGATTGACCAAGTCTCGTGATGGCACACGAGACACACGCATCAACTAAGTATGAACTACTGTCTTTTCAACTACATATTTTCAAACCTTATTTATAAATGGTCTGGTATGTTTTATCTCAAATTATCAGCATACACGACAAAAAAAAAAAAATGAGACACTTGTGCCACATTTGAGTATCTTCATTCTGGAAATGCTTCGCCACCCAGTGAATTCTTCAGAGCAATGCAGAGAAAGGTGGATGTCTTCCCATTTATTTTCCCTCACCCATTTACCCTCTCTTACTTGCCTTCTCCCTTAGAAAAGAAATCGAGTAAAACATTCGGTAATGTCTCTCAGACCCACACGTTAAATCGAGTTTCTAACTAACTTTGGCAGTCTTGAGGGATCGTGGGTACGATAATCTTCCTGGGTCTCAAGGCATGGGCAGCCAGTCAGGAGCCGATCCTGTAGTATGGGCCAGTAGGCCTACAGCAGTGCTCCTTCTTTATGTTCTTACGTTCTAGGTACCAACGGGAGCGGCCAACCAGGAGCCGTTCCTGTAATTACCAGCGGAAGCGGCCAACCAGGAGCCGCTCCTGTAATTACCAGCGGGAGCGTCCAAACAGGAGCCACTCCTGTAGTTACCAACGAAGACAGCTCATGAACGCACCACCAACAACACTACCAACAACAGTGAAGAAAAAAACATGGTGCAGAACACCGTTTGTCGGGACAATGTTTTGCCTTGCGTAGATCGAATCAAAGCAGGTCGAAGGGAGATGCAAGGCTGACTTG